AGTTTTGTTACGTGAGGCAAAAGCAGAAAACATTTTAAGTTAGATATGCAAGTAGTAATAAGAAAAACAATAATAACAACTGGTTTTATACAACGTTTCTTTATACACTCAGAGACACTCCCAATTTGTATTATTCATTCACTCCATACACGGTGGTGATAAACTACTACTGTAGCCACAGCTGCCCTGGGGCACACTGACAGAAGCGAGGCAACCAGTATGTGCCATCGGCCCCTCCCACCACCAACCATTCACACACACACCGGATTCATTCTAGGCAATGGGGGTGAAGTGTCTTGCCTAAGGGCACAATGGTTTTGCACTTTACAACCCCCTCACTGTGGCACCTGGTGTTCCAAGAGGTCTCCCATCACAGTACCAACCAGGCCCTGCCCTGCTTAGCTTCAGAGGCCTGATGAGATCTGGCTTTCACCTGCAGGTGGTGCCACACTATGGTAGTAGTAAGTTGTAAAAGCTTAAAAGAAAATACATTTTTGCTTATAATCTTTAATTTATCAGCAAAACAAGAGCAAATTAAACATGTTAAGTTTTGCATTATTACTGCTGATACAGGACGAGCACTGACCGAATCCTATCTATTTTTACTTTCAGGATTCTGTGCTGCTGTCCCCCGCCACGCGCTGATGAAAGCCGTGCTCACTGTGAAAGAACAACGCTGCTCTTTGATCATCTGTCTGCGCACAACAAAAACCCTGGAATACTCGAGTAAAGTGCTTTTAGAGACTGCCGCACTCTCCACTCGCCTCGTGACAAAGACGAGAAAAGGACGTCGCATTTTTATTCTTTGAAGCAAGGCCGAACATTCGCTCCATGCAGGATTATTCCAGGTCTGTTGTGATGTCCTTGTCCCTAGAAGCAGTGGCGGAGGTAGCAGTCTGTGGCCAGGGTCAGTTTGGGGGCCTCTCTATAATGTGTGGTTTTTATATATCGACAAATTATTATCATACAATAAAAACATTATATTCACTGTATTTTTTATATTTCTCCCTTCTATTTGTATTTGTACTATTCTGTCCTTTTTTATGTGTTGTCTTTTAATATACTTTTATACGTATTTTTTCTTTAAACAATTTTTTCATTAATTCTTTCATTTCTTCACTATGATTTTATTTTGTCATTTTCTTTTTTGTATTATTTCCTCATGTTTGAATTTTTTAAACCAATAATAATCTAATCTTTACTTTGGTTACTTGGTTACTTGGTTGGTTACTTTGGTTTATTGCATTAAAAATATCATGGCATAGACATCATATACTGTACTTCCCAAAGAACCTTTTTAGTTTCCCTCAAAGACTAGATTAACAGAAAAGACAAAGACTATAAAGTATTACTTCTGTTCTCCACAGAAAAAAAAAATTGTAGTTGTTTTCCCCAATATTTCCAATAATTACTAAATTTTTCCAATTGCTTTGACATACAGGTTTCGCAATCATGTGATATATTTCTTGTTTAAAATTTCATTGCTTTCACTTTCAATAGAGCGATCAAATCTTCTCTCAGTTTTAGGAGAATTTGACCAGGGGCCCCTCTAAGATTAGGGCCTCACTCCACAGCCTCCCGTTGTCTTTTGTTAGCACCGCCCCTGTGTAAGACAAGAGATCCTTTATTTGTCCTAAACTTATATCTGTTCTAAGTTATAAACAAAGGCAGATACAGTATAACAGCCAAAGAGAAAAGGGGGGTTAGTGGGAGAAGCAGGAGATGTGGAGGATGGGTCGTGACTTCTATATAGCACAAAAACAGCCAGACAAGCAGAAATTGGTCCCCTGTTGATAGAGGAATAAGAATCGTGAGGCTGGAGGTGGAACGGCGGTGGTAAATGTTGTAGCCCACGTTGGAGGTCATGGAGGTCATAAATGATGTATTGTCTATCACACTTAGATTAACAACCTTTTCACAGACATCATGCACTGAGAGTCATGCAGAGAGGTCCCAGGTGGTTAAACGAAAATGGAAGTATTTCAACACTAGGACATAGTTTAATAACCTGTTGTTTTTGCGATGTTATTACCTTGACATGTTTCCAGACAAGATGAAGCTTCCAACACTAGCGTAGCAAATTGTAACCACAAGACGTTTGTGGATGTTTCTGAAAGTCTAGAAATTGAAACCTTTTTGAAGATATATTGACAAATTGGACATATTGACCGTGGATGGTTGGATAAAATCAAAATTACAAATGTTTATCACAAAACACTCGAGAAGGCCCGGTACAGGGACGCAGGATGGGAGCAGACCAGGACCAGGACGAGACTACAATGAAGAGGAGGTAACAGACTGACCGGGGAAGAGCAGGGCTGAAGGGGAGGGTGCTGGAGATGGTTAAAAAATGTATACAAATCTCTATAATACATGAAAAGTCGGAGTTAGATTCAGTGCTTGTGAATTGAACAATCTAGCGCTGGGGACAAGGCCAGCTGGGTTTACGTTAATACTGCATCTGGTGATTGCTGGAATGGTGGTCAGCAGGTGAGAGTGATGAGGCAATAGAACAGCAGGGAAAGGGGGCAGCAGGAAGGGACAACAACAATAGTAATCAGAAACTACAGCCCCCATTGTTGCGTCAAACTCAAAATATTTTCCAAACGCAAACGATTTTCCAAAATACGACTGGGATGTGATTTATGCCCACTGGTCAAACCATAGACATAGATGGACAATGCTCAATGAAGTTCTTATGATTTGTCTGAGTCTCCCCAAAAGTTATTTTTAGCAAATTATGAAAACCCAGTAACAAACTCAAAACATCACTGCTCTAGAAGACATCTGCATGGAGGAATGGGCCAAAATACCAGCAAGAGTGTGTGAAAACCCCTTGAAGACCTTTGCTCAACCAAGGGTACATAACAAAGTGTAGAGATGGACTTTTGTTAAGGACAAAATACGTATTTGTCGTCATAATTTGCAAATATCAGACTGTGATTGACGTGATTTTCATTTTCAATTTCGTTCTGTCTTGTTCTTTCCCTCAGGCAGAAATTACAGGCATCTCTTATCTTTTTAAATGGGAGGACTTGCACAATTGGTAGCTGACTAAAAACTTTTTTGCCCCACTGTGTATTAGTGAAGCTGAAATTGGCTGGATGACACTGTGTAAGTACCTCAGTGGTAGAGGCAGAGGGCCACATAACACGACACCGCAGGCCGGATTTTGCCCACGGGACTCAGTTTGGACATGCCTGGTTTATGGCCTTCATGACAAAACAATATTACAATATAAAAGCGCTGTTAGATTGGATCATTTGATGTCTGCTGTATACGCATTCAGCCCACATCTTGTTGCCTTTGGGTGACTTCCATACCCTCCCCTTCCTCCTCCTCATCCTCCTTCAGGCATCTGCTCTCAAAACAAACCAGACCCACCACAAATCCATTTAAGACCCGCACCAGGCCTGGGCCGTGTGTCCAGACGGATGCAGGATGTGGTTAACGGGCTGTGATTGGCGGCAGAGTGGCAGAGTACGTAATCTGAAGTGACGTTGGGAGTATGTGATCCGGATAAAGCTCCAAAGATGCCGTGAAAACCGCTGTCAATACAGAGATTCCACAAGTCCACCAGTCCCGTCTGATCCATTCAGCTTTTTGGCACGAGGCGAGATGCAACGTGAGATTTTGTTGAGATTGGAGTTCAGACTTTGGTACGAATAAGTCAAAGGCTGTTCTGTTCTGAAAACTAGTATTATTTATGCACAGCGTTAAATCACAGCAGCAATATCTCAATGTGGCTCCGTGAAGAAAAATAATTGCCCACCCCTGTGTTTGCACCATACTGCTGAAGTCTCTGGTGCAAACAATGTGGAACAATGTACTGTACTGGAATATGTGTAAAATTGGAAACACTTCTGATCCCATTACTGTACGTTCTAATGCAAGTATATTAAACACGACCCTCCTCCTCCCCATCGCCAGTTCAGCTTCCTCCGCCACAGGGTCGAACCCCCGGGGGATTCTTCTTTAATAATCTCTATTTGATTTTCTTTCCTGCATAATTAATGTCATGTAATATTTCTGCACCAAAACCGTTCTCAACATGCCACGTTCCATGTCACTTTATGTCATTCTAGATCAGAGGTGTCCAAACTTTATAGCTAGAGGGCGGCTTTACAGGTTCAGATTCAGATTCATTTTTTTGCCATTTGCCATATAACCACATTGGAATACATTTGCAAAATTCCCCAGTTTGCACAAGACAAGTACATAAATGTAACAGATTTTTAAAAGAAATCTGTTTAAAAAAATCTGTTTTACTTCAGAAAATTTGTCCAGGGGCCGACAATCCGGATTGTAAAACTGTTATGACTGGATTCGGGTTGTTCTGGGAATTAAAATGGGGTTGTTTTGTTATTGAATCCTACACATCTGCAGTTAAAAGCCAGATTTTTCCAGACCTCCGAAGCAAAGCAGGGAAGGGTCTGGTTAGTGCAGTGATGGGAGACCAATGGGAACTCCAGGTGCCACAGTGGGGCGGCTGTGTTATTAGGCAAGACGCTTCACCCACAATGCCTAGAATATGTGGTGTGTGTGTGTGAAAAAATGGTGGTGGGAGGGGCTGATGGCACATACTGGTTGCCTCGCTTCTGTCAGTGTGCCCCAGGACAGTTGTGACTACAGTAGTAGTTTATCACCGTCATGTGTGTCATGAGTGAATGAATAGTGCTGTGGTGCGTCTTTGAGTGTTAGTATTATAAAAAAAACATCAGTATATTTAAACTATGAAGTATAAAAATGTATTTAAAGTATATATAGATTTCTAAAATCTATATAAAATATAGATCTAAAAGTCTTTTAATATGTTTAGCACATCCCGGAATATCAAACTATATGAAACAAATACATTAAAAAACAAAAATAAAAAATAAATAATGTACCATTTCAAAATATATCACGTTTATCTAAAAAAACAAAGGTATTATTATTTCTAGCACAGTCCTGTTTTTGATTTCTAGCATCTTTGATATTCTTTGTGTTATTGTTTAGAAATGTCTCTTTCTTCTGAAGGTTCCTCCTCCATCTCCTCCTCAAACAAACACTGTAATCCTGCGTCCTTTTCTCTCCCTCTGAACCCCATCATTTCGCTCCGCCGCTCGGTCTCCTGTTTAACCCTACCTGCTGGCCGGCGTTTCCATGGCGACGGCAGCCATTCTGCGGCGGCGGCGAGCTATGGTTTATTAGATCCCCGGTCACACGCGGCGGTCAGGGAGAAACGCATCCGTCCACCGCAGGCCAATAACCACGGAATGAGACAGTTGAGTGAGAGGAGTGGGCTTTCAGAAGAGAGCGGGGTCAGTGTGGACTCCTCAACATGTGCACTAAAGCTCGGGTACTTCACTTTTTAGTAAATAATACATTATGTTCGTCTGACAGACAAAGTCTTGTGAAAGTATTCATGTGTTCATTCAAATGTATTCATCTTGTTGGAAAACATGTTCAAACAAGTTCATCCCATAGACTGTATACAGATAGACAATGATAACCTGCTAGCTCCATGTAGCCCAATAGGGAAGTGTTCATGGACAAAGTTTTGCTCCAACTCGCACTGGCTCCTGATGACTAAAACTCCTCTAGCTCAGTAACCGTTTGTGTCACACTCACCATTTTGAGGAAAAAAAAGGTCTATAGCGCAGTTTCAACTAGCCCTACTCGGCTCTACTCTATCCTGATTGGGGCGTTTCCACCAGCCCTGCTTTGATAGTATCAGGTACATTTTTGGTACATGCTTGGCCCTTGTTTTTCTCAAGCTGGACAGTGTTCCAATTGACTGTGATTGGCCAGAGTGCTGCTGGAAGCCATGGTTTCGACAGACTTTCCCTGAATAATGGTTTATAATGTCATGTAAGTACGTAATGTTTATTTATATAGGGTATTTTACAGACCAAGGTCACCCAAGGTAGGTTGCTAGGATACGGTACCCGATAGTAATGGAACGCAACCAGTAGAGCAAAGAAGAGTTGAGTGCAGCCAAGTAGGACTGGTGGAAATGGAGATTATGATGACCCCATGATGAGCCATATAAGGATTGACCAATCAGATGGGAAACTCCAACTTGCCTTAGCAACCATCTTAGTAACACGCCCTCTTATGGCACCAAGCTATTGCCCGTCGGAACAAATGGGCATTTGAAAATTGAATCAAGCTAGCTCATGGTCAAACCAGCTTCTCCTATTAAAGCTAACACTATGGTGATGTCACACTCAGTCTCTACTCTGGATATATGCTCTATGGTAGGTGGTTGGAAAGACCCCTGACCCCAGGGACCACCTGGTGTTGACTATGATCCTAGTTTATAGCTGCAGATACTTCCACTTGTATTTTCTGTGATAAACCAGGCCACACTGTCACTTTTATCAGATTTAGTCCTGATCCGAGACGATAATTTGTCTGCACCATCTGCCTGTGGCGTCTCCAAGGACACAGACACGAAGATAAGGACTGCACTGTAAACATGTTCAATTAAAACTGGGGTGCGTAACTTTCAAAACACAAGCAATTTTACTGTAAAAGAATCCATGTCGCTCGATCCTCGCTCTCACAACAGTTTGCTTCTAATAGTTTTCATGTATTTTTAGCCTCTTTCAGAGGAGCAGCCTCACTCAGGCCGTGTGTTCACAGAGACGCTGTGACAGTAAGACGATAGAATAACTAACCATTGGCCTTTCGTTTACATGGCAACGGTGTTTCTTGGGGTGAAAATGCAAGCTTTGAAAAACAAAGCATTTAACAAACTTTGTTAAATGCTGAATGAAGTTGGTGCAATCTTTTACGAGTGTTGCGTTGTAATGTTCAACTGCCCCCTACACGCCGGGCGCTAGAACTACATAATTTTCAGTCGCTGAGTAGATGCTTTGCACTTCGAATCTGGAGTGGGGTTGTTTTATAGCTTGGCTACGTCTCCGTGAAACCAGAGCCTCAGCCAATCATCTCTCGGCACAGAGATAATATAAGATACATTACTGTTGTGGCCATACTTGCATGTGAAAGCCAGATCCCATCAGACCCTTGAAGCGGTGCAGGGCAGGGCCTGGTTTGTGCTGTGATGGGAGACCTCTGGGAACACCAGGAGTAGGGCTGAAGCTGGTAAGTGCCAAACTGTCGCTGTGTCCTTCACCCAGTTAACCCACATTGCCTAGAATGAATCTGGTGTGTGTGTGTGAATGACTGGTGGTGGTTTGAGGGGATGATGGCACATACTGGTTCTGTCTGGGGCAGCTGCGGCTACAGTAGTAGTTTATCATCACCATGTATGGAGTGAAAGAATAAAATGTCTTGGCTAAAAAGCACTGTATAAAACCGTTGCATTATTATTATTATTATTACTAATTTATTGTCGCCCATAAGAGAAATTTGTCTTGGGAAAGGGGTTCACATGCTTTACACTGACACCACATGCATTTACATACACAACAGCAGACATTAAACAGACACAGGTAAGAGCATCATCAGAGACCTTTAGGACCATAGAAGAAGAAAGTTGATCACAATCATTCCACACTTTCACTTCAGTACACTGAAAGTACATACTTTATTGCACCTATACTCAAAGCCAAACAGTGACTCACAGGGATCTTTATTACAAGTATTCAAAAGATAAGATAAATACAGAGTGTAGTGTTCTGATTATAAACCAATGAATGAATAAAGTTTAATCCATAAACAGCATATTTCATCATTTTTCACCACAGTTTTATACAAGGTCAAATATCTGCTCTTGATTCCATCTCAAATCTTTGTGTTATGAATATTTGATAGGCCCACGGAGCATTCCCCGAGCCCTCGTGTAGCCGGCGATAAAAAATGTGTAGAACGTGAGAGCGGTTGAGCCGCCAAGCAGCTCCTCAAAAAAAAAAAAATCATATCAAAATGAGATTAATAATTCACAATGAAAGCATGAAAAGTGCAGCGGTGTTGGCCCGAGACACACACACACACCTCATTCATATTCCAAAGTGTGTGTTTTTGAAAAGGAAAATTCAAATTCAGATTCTGGGCTGATGTGAATACTGATGAGAACATGCTTTTCCCCTCTGCTCCTTCAAACCCTAAAGAAGTGTTTTGTGAGGCATATACATAGTAAGTAAGTAAGTAAGTTTTTATTTATATACCGCCTTTTCACTGCAGATCTGAGTCTCAAAGCGGTTTACAATTGTTAATTTTTGGGCATTTGTCTCTCACTCCACACAGAGATGGGAGCGGGGCCAGTACAGGAGGCGCATGCCAGAACTATTGGACATATTTTTAGTGGTAGGGGAAACCGGAGTACCCGGAGGAAACCTACGCAGACACGGGGAGAACATGCAAACTCCACTCAGAAAGGCCCTGGTCCGACCGGGATTCGAACCCAGGACCTTCTTGCTGAGAGGCGAGAGTGCTATCCACTCAGCCACCGTGCCGCCCATAGTAAAGCCTCAGTCCTGGATCTGCAGTCTGAATACTGGATTTTGTTTTTGTGGTCCCCTACAGAATCTGGGACATTAAAGGACATTTTTGCACATTTGTCAACATTTATGGGCAGTGGTCATCCTGCTTCCTATGGACCAATGGCTCCTATGTACAGTATTTTTGTTAATATTGCATTTCCTGTGCTCGAACTGTTGGCGTATCGGTTGTTGGCAAATTGAGAACTTTGTCCTTCGAGTTGACAGCTGTTGTGATTTAGGGCTGTACAAAATACGTTGAATAAAATTATTAATAATGAACAAAATGTACTCAAACAAAACTTGGAATTATCTTTCAGAATGTGATGTAATTTCTTAAACCTTCCGCTCATTACCCAAAGCTCATGTCCATATGTAAGGGAGGTAGTGTTGACGGAGCGGTAAATGAAAAGCTTTGACTGCAGACGCTGCTCCCTCTTCACCACAACAGTCTGACAGCGACTGAGTCACTGCACACACTGTCTGTGAATCTCACGCTCCATCCTCCCTCACTGAGACCAAGAAGACCGTGAGTAAGTTGAACTCCTCCACTTGTAGAAGGACCTCTGCACCTGGAGACCACCCTCGCGCCCTCAGCCAATCAGGTCTCAGCGCAAAGCGTCAAATAGTGACTCTCAGAGCTATTTCTTACAAGTATGAAAAAGTTAACAAGATGACGACAGACAGCTTGTGTGGTCTGATTCGTTAACAAATTTCACTCTTTCTCTTTCTGATGAAAAAAACCAAACCAAAAAACACGTATTATTATGAAACAAAAATGTAGGTACCCCAGCTTTAATCGCCACTTATCGAATTGTCCCAAAACTCGTCTCGCGCGTTTGGCTCACCCTTCAGCCCTCCACCAGCCTGCTGTCATCACATTAGCGCTGGGTGATGGATGACAGGCCCATATGGCTCTCTCCCCTCTATCCTCTCTCCCCTTTCTCTCTCTCTCCGCTCCCTTCGGTTCCTCTCCTCTCTTCTCCCACAACCCCGGACACTCTGCGCCAGACCGGAGGCAGCTGCCCGCCCGTGAGCAGCTCCACTCCGTTTCCATCCTCCACAGACCGCGCACTCCAGGACAGCGTACGCAATGACCCCACAACGCGTGCCCTCCGTGAAGACCGTATGAGATCCCGGATCCCGTGCGTAACGTGGAGGGAATTTGGAAACGAGACGCTATTTGAATTGAAGAGGTGAGAGATGCGATTGTTTGGTCTGTCTCATGCGTAATCTCCCCCCCATGCACAATGCGCCAGGGAGTGTGCAAAAGTACTGTCTCTGCGTCGCGAACGTGGGGACATTTACGCACGGCTTCATTTGGTTTGATTTTGAAGAGACATTTGCAGCAAAGATGAGAGAGTAAAAGTGTGGATGAGTGCCTGGTAATTGTGTGGTTTACAGCCATCATTTTGGACGTATCCGACCTTAGGAAAGCACTTATTTGGGAATGGTGTGAGCTATGGCCAAAATGACATATTTCAAGAAGTATTGGTACTCGCATTGTTTGTTTTGTGTCTTGCTTCTGCAGCTGCACATAGCCACACAGACTATCACTGCTTCTACTATTTGTTTTGTTTATTAACTGCTACTACTGCAGAAAATACCACTACTATATCTGTAATCACAGCTAATATATTTGCATATAAGTGAATGTGTTATTGGAGCCTTTTCACGGGCCAATTTATGATAAAACATTTTTTCATACCATTTTTTTCCTGCATCAAATGTAAAGGACAAAGGATCATTTGGAATAGTGTATATGGTCAAAAATGTATTTTTTTAATGTAGTAGCTACCCACGTTGTTTGAGATTTTGTCATGTTTTTGCATTAGCACGTTTATGCATTTACACATAATAGACTTACATTAGATTAATATGTTTGAATGAGGGACGCAGCATTTCCAATGTCTACACAAAACAATGATAAAAGATAGGAGTTTTTCATAACCTCCAAATGTCTTGCATCAAAATCAAGTAAAAAAGAAGTACCGATATGGTATTATATGTAATTAAAGTGTCCACTCACATTGTTTGTTTTTTGTCGGGTTTGAACCAGCAGGTCGATCTGCAGGTGCATGTTTGTTTATCGGAAACAGCATTAACCACACAATACATTCATTAAGACATGGTTTTGTGATTAAATATACATATTTTATTGCACCAATTTTAGATGTGTTATAAAATGTATTATTATTATTTGGAGTTGGTTTATGGCCAAATGTATATGATTTTAATTTAGTAGCAACCCACCAGACTTACATTCAATATGTGTAAATGGGAAGCAGTTTTTCCATTGGCCACACAATACAATGATATAATGTGTTATACAAACAAACTTTCCTTACCATAATATTGCACTTAGAATTGGCTTTTCTACGGAGTAAGTAACGGCCAAAGAATAGAGTTGGAGCCAGCTGCAACCAGTCACCAGAGATCATGCATATACTCAATGTTTTTACTGAGATTTCTCTGCAGCAGTAGTTGTTGTTGCAGTTGCAGTAGTAGAAGATGAAGTAGTAGTATTAGCAGTCGTAGTAGTGGCAGGAGTAGTAGTAGCAGTAGAAGTAGTATTAGCAGTAGTAGTAGTAGTAGTAGAAGTAGTAAAAGCAGTTAGTGGCAGGAGTAGTAGTAGCAGTAGAAGTAGTATTAGCAGTAGTAGTAGTAGTAGTAGAAGTAGTAAAAGCAGTTGTAGTAGTGGCAGGAGTAGTAGTAGCAGTAGAAGTAATATTAGCAGTTGTAGTAGTAGTAGTAGAAGTAGTAAAAGCAGTTGTAGTTGCAGGTGGATCACTGACTTCCTGACGGACAGGAAGCAGCGAGTGCGTCTGGGGAAGAATGTCTCGGACTCTCGGATTATAAATACAGGAGCCCCACAGGGCTGTGTTCTTTCTCCCCTGCTCTTCTCCCTGTACACCAACCACTGCACCTCCAGCCACGACTCCGTGAAGCTGATCAAGTTCGCGGACGACACCACCCTCATTGGACTCATCTCCAACAACGATGAGTCCGCCTACAGGAGGGAGGTGGACCGGCTGGTGTCCTGGTGCAGTGGTAACAACCTGGAGCTGAACGCCCAGAAGACAGTGGAGATGATTGTGGACTTCAGGAAGAGCACTGTCCCCCCACCCCCACCCTCCGTGATGGACTCCCCCATCAGCTCTGTGGAGTCCTTCCGTTTCCTGGGCACCACCATCACCCAGGACCTCAAGTGGGAGCCGACCATCAGCTCCCTCATCAAGAAGGCCCAGCAGAGGATGTACTTCCTGCGGCAGCTCAGGAAAGCCAAGCTGCCTGCACAGATGTTGGTGCAGTTCTACACGGCCATCATTGAGTCCATCCTCACCTCCTCCGTCACCGTGTGGTTCGCTGGAGCCACAGTCAGGGACAAACAGAGACTACAGCGCATTGTGCGCTCTGCAGAGGAAGTGATCGGCCGCAGCCTTCCATCGCTGCAGGACCTGTACGTCGCCCGAGCTCGAGGCCGGGCTGGTCGTATCACAGCCGACCCCTCTCACCCTGCACATGGACTATTCCAACCACTCCCCTCAGGCAGGAGACTGCGGTCCATCAGGACCAGAACCTCCCGCCACAAGAACAGTTTCTTCCCCTCTGCTGTTGGACTCTTGAACACTTCTTAACCTGTCCCCCCGCCCTTTATAAAGTCACTTTACTGCCCATCATACGTCACTTTACTTCACTGTACTGCTGTCACCTTACAATGTGCACCATGTGCACTTGTATATTGTAAATACTAACTGTAATATATAACTATATATAATATAATATAAAATATATAATATATATATAACTGTAACTCTATTTTAAATTTAAATTTATTCTTTAGAATAAATAGTGTTTTTTATTCTTATTTTTATTATCTCTTTTTGACTGTTGCACTGAGCCAAAGCAATTTCCTAGTCTGTGACCTCCTGTTACTTACGTGGCAATAAAAATGATTCTGATTCTGAAAATGATTCTGTAGTAGTAGCAGGAGTAGTAGGAGCAGAGTCAGTGCAAAGGCAGCTGTTTCCAAATGTGTCCTAACACAATAGTTGCTGGATCCATTGTGGAGGTCACCTTTGTCTCACACTGCTGCAGTACAACAACACAAGACCCGAGTGTGGACTAGGACCAGGACCTGGACCAAGACCAAGACCAAGAGAGAAAAATCCAGTACAAAAAGTTCCACATGCCCGAGTAAATACGCGACATACTTTGACCTTTTGTAGTTGAGAACATTGGCTTTAAGATCCTGCGTCATTAGGTTTGTATTTATTGCACAGAAAGCAGGATATAAACATAAGTACATGAGCATACGTATACGTTGTGTTAGTACAAGTTACTAAATTAACTATAGATCTATGAGCCTTGCATTTGATCTCGGTGTGGAATTTTCCAAAGTTTGAATGATTTGACTCAGTTTTTGCCTTTGATTCACTTTAGTCCAGGTTAAGTTTATCGCATTTGGGATAGACTAGGTTCAAAGCTTTAACAATTAGTATTTTTGCAATCTACTCGTTTGGGAGTAAGAAAAGGGTCGGTATAAAAAACCCTTAAAATGTTTGAAGAATTTGACCAAGATGAAGCTAAAGTGACGGCACTCCAGAAAAGCTTCATCAGGCTTTTTATCACTGCAGACCCCGAGACAACAGTGGGTAAGGTCGGCGTGTTGTTTGGACCCGTGTCAGCTTTTAACCACAGGTAAGACCAGCAAGAAACCAGAGGTAGACCAGAGAGAGAGACACCAGAGAGAGAGAGACCCAAAGGAGAGACCAGAGAGGGAGAGGCCAGAGAGAGACCAGAGAGAGACCCGAGGGAGAGACCAGAGAAAGACCTGTGGGAATCCCATTGTAATTGACTACGACAAGTTTTTCATCCATATTTTTTTTTTTTTTACAAGGACAACTTTATAAAGGAAAGAGCAGCACATGCAACAGCCCAAACTGTGACGATGGGAGCTTCACTCACCCAAACATGGCTCCACGGTCCTTTATGCTGTCAAGTATTGTTCCTTGTTTTACTTGTGTGTTTTAGAACCTTCTTCCCGACCATGTGAGCGGACTGGAAAGTTTGGTTGTATCTCTGTCTAAATAACACTTGACAAAAAGACTAGGTTGCGAGGCGGGTTGAATGCCGAATCGTTTTGACACACCAGCCTTAGGTGTCTGTGTGAATGAAAATACATGTTTTATTGCTATGATCACATTAGTCTAGAACAGCTCTATACTCTCGGGGTGATTATAGATTTTTTGCAACCTGTAGACCCAAACTTCAAACCAACCATCCATCAATCTTCTTCCCCTCAATCCATTCCTGGTCAGGGGGTGGCAGTCAGAGATGCACCCAATTCACAACAGCCAACCACTCTCTTGGAAAAGCATAAATTAAATCTTCTGGGACATCTGGCTGAAAAACCTCCTGCAGCAGATGTTGTTGGGTCTAAGGTTGTGGAGGCGTCTGCTCCAGAAAGTCTGAACGGAGTGAGTGGGAGAGATACCTTTGCAACGTCTGCTAGAAAAGCTCAAGATAAGCAAACCGTTTATAGATCGGTTTACTAAAAGGAGATTCCACAATTTTTCGGTAAAATGCTGGAACTCCAATCATTGTCCCGACATGGGAGCTAACAGCTAAGGTAAGCAGTAGCATGCTCCGGGTCTTACTACAATCTTGGTATTTCGTCTCCAGAGGGAAATATTCACATTTAAAACATTGCATCTTATTAAAGTTTGGCTTATGGTAATCAATGTCCAATGTGCAAAACACGTTCCACATTAGTTTCCCCCCATTCACACAATACAAGTTTAATGCAGTCCATTTTCCTCAAGTAAGAAATATCATACAAAAAAATCTGCAAGCTCAACGATGGCCAAGTCAATTTTTCAGTAAGATTAAGTTCCTTATCTAATTTTTGATTTTTATTCAGCGCTTGTTTTTCAAATCTCCGGAGAAAAAGTCCATGCAAAATGTTAATCCTCATTTGAGTCACATGTGAAGAAAAAATCTCTTCTTTCCGTCCTTTTTGTATGTGGTAAAACCCTCTATATCTACAGACATCTTTGTGTTTCCAGGAGGTTCATCTCGAGACTTCCTGAGGGCCTTCTGTCAATGTCTCTCTGAGCCTTTTCTTTGTTCTTTCTTTTCCAGCTGCGTCTTTGTCTCGGTTCCAAAATGAACTTTTTTATGTCCTTTGAGAAAATCTGTTTTAAACAAGAAGCAAACCAGAGTACAGGGTCCAGTCCTAGTCCCAGAGAGGATTCAATCCCAGGGTTCAAGTCCAGGAGGAGTGTGTGGTCTCACTGAAGTCCCATTTCCACCAGCCCTACTTGGCCCAACTCTAGTCAACTCTACTCTACTCTAGTCAACTCTACTGTAATAAAAAGCATTTACACCTGGTCTGTTTAACTGGTGCCGGTACTGTTTTAGTCCATCTTGGTCCTGGTTCTATCCAGGCCGAGCTGGTTCTAAAGCTGACAGTTCTTCTGGGAGCCATGGTTATCAAGGAATTTCCCTGAATACTAGTTTGTTGTGGGTAGGTTGCTAGGATACAGTAACAGATACTAGAGCGAGCGTAATGGAAACACAACTAGAGCAGAGCAGAGTAGAGTAGAGTAGATTGGTTTAGAAAGATTCATCTTGTCTTCTTAGTAGAATTAAAAGTATTTGGTTCTTCCATAGCAGACAATAGAAGGTTAGCGATGTTAGTGAGCAGAGTAGAGTAGAGTAGAGTAGAGTAGAGTAGAGTAGAGAAGAGTAGAGTAGAGTAGAGCAGAGCAGAGTAGAGTAGAGTAGAGTAGAGAAGAGCAAAGGAGAGTAGAGTAGAGTAGAGTAAGGCAGAGTAGAGTAGAGTAGAGCAGAGCAGAGCAGGGCAGAGTAGAGTAGAGTAGAGTAGAGTATAGTAGAGTAGAGTAGAGTAGAGCAGTGTAGAGTAGAGTAGAGTAGAGCAGTGTAGAGTAGAGTAGAGCAGTGTAGAGTAGAGTAGAGTAGAGCAGTGTAGAGTAGAGTAGAGTAGAGCAGAGCAGTGTAGAGTAGAGTAGAGCAGAGCAGAGCAGAGCAGAGTAGAGTAGAGTAGAGCAGAGCAGGGGAGAGTAGAGTAGAGTAGAGCAGAGCAGGGGAGAGTAGAGTAGAGTAGAGCAGTGTAGAGTAGAGTAGTGTAGAGTAGAGCAGTGTAGAGTAGAGTAGAGTAGAGCAGAGCAGGGGAGAGTAGAGTAGAGTAGAGACGAGTAGAGTAGAGTAGAGCAGTGTAGAGTAGAGTAGAGTAGAGTAGAGCAGTGTAGAGTAGAGTAGAGTAGAGTAGAGCAGTGTAGAGTAGAGTAGAGTAGAGTAGAGCAGTGTAGAGTAGAGTAGAGTAGAGTAGAGCAGTGTAGAGTAGAGTAGAGTAGAGTAGAGCAGTGTAGAGTAGAGTAGAGTAGAGTAGAGCAGTGTAGAGTAGAGTAGAGCAGTGTAGAGTAGAGTAGAGTAGAGCAGTGTAGAGTAGAGCAGAGTAGAGTAGAGTAGCTATCGTTGTAGTTCATTCCATTGGCTACATATCCCTCTCTCTCTCTCTCTCTCTCTCTCTCTCTCTCTCTCTCTCTCTCTCTCTCTCTCTCTCTCTCTCTCTCTCTCTCTCTCTCTCTCTCTTCTCTCTCTCTCTCTCTTTTCTCTCTCTCTCCCTCTCTCTCATTTACCTGATGCTCACATAAACCACTCACATTTATAAGTGTCTTAACAAAACAACATTTTGCCTCTGGGCTTTGGTGCCACCGTTTCCAATTACAATCCTTTATTCAAATCAATACGGCTGCTTTCATTGGCCGGGCTCCAGCCAATCAGCTCTGACTGCAGAAAAAACACCTTGTCTCTTTGAATTATGTTTGACAAATGTTTAATGTTTATGTACGTGAGGTTCATCGAGTTTGAGACGCGTTCTGTTCTCGTTGCTCTGAGTAGCACCGGTCGATTCGACGGTGGCTGCGTCCAAATGGGATTTCAGTTTGAGACGTCGTGCTGATGGATGCGTTGTAGACGGAGCGATTTATGAGAAGAAAATGATCTTTACCTGGAGCACGTCCCACTGGGAAATAAACAGGAGATCGTTCAGCTCTTTATGGCATTACCGTTGTCATAGCGATGTCAATAGAGTCACTAGAATGTGGTTTATGGTTTTAATGTGTGGTTTTTCACATTGGCTATTCAATCCAATTCAAACCCAGCGGACTTTCTGTTTTTGTTTTAATGTTGAAGGGCTTTGTAGTGAACCTGCAGGTTTGAAATGAATAAACAAACAAACAATTCAATTTAATTATCTATATTTACAAAACGTCATAGTCATACAAGTCATACTCATTCTATTTTAAAGTTTGTAGGTGTTTTTTAAAAGGGATTTCATAAGAAGCCACGTTAGCTTACATTGTTAGCTTAAATTGTTAGCTTAATACATGGGGGAAAAAAGTGAAAATGCATACCTTTCTACATTCCTAAACCCATTTCTAAATCCTCACAGTTTCAGTCTGGACTCTTCAGCCAAATAAACAACAAACTTATAGTAACAATAGAAAAACTAACTATTATTAAGTATGAAATGTCTAACCAAAGGCATCTGTGGAGCCTTCAAAGCATTTAAAGCTGGGGTACGTAACTTTTTTGGCTTATAAAATATACATTTTGTTTGACCCGACACAAAGAGTCCACAGACCTCAACATGCGGATTATTTCATGAGAAAATTGTGTTAACATTTGTGTAGAAAAGAGCCCTGGGAGTCACTATTTGACGCTTTGAGAGCTTATTGGCTGAAAGTTTGATACCCCAGCTTTAAAAAATCAAATACACTGCAAAATGGTGTTCATTTTGACCCAGTTTTAATGCTTAAGAATAATTACTAGTTTTTACATTTGAAAGCATTTGCTAAGCAGAAAATAGAAGTGGGAAATGTAATGTTGCTTGTATAATTACTGTATTACGGTTAACGATTATTTTGAGAATGGATTAGTTGTTTAGATCCTCGGCCCTCACCACCCATTAATGTGGGAGAAGCCGGTTTGAACATAAGCTGGAGCCAATTTTCTTAATGTGCATTTCTTACGTGTTGTTTGTTTGGTCAATCCTTATACTGTTCAAACCTGAATTAACTATATCAAATTTTAAAGCCAGATGCCGTTAGACCTCTGAAGCTAAGCAGGGCAGGGCCTGGTTTGTACTGTGAGGGGAGACCTCTGGAAACATAAGGTGTCACAGTGGAACGGTTGCGGCTGTAAAGTGCCAAACTGTCATTGTGTCATTCGGCAAGACACTTCACCCACATTGCCTAGAATGAGTCTGGTGTGTGTGTGTGGATGGTTGGTGGTCGGAGGGGCCTTGTCTCTATCAGTGTGCCCCAGGGCAGCTGTGGCCACAATAGCAGTTCATCACCAACGTGTATGAAGTGAATGAATAATAACTTGTGATGCGTATTTGAGCGTCCATAAAGACACTGTAGAAACAGATTATTATCAGGATCACATAGAGCGCTAAACCATGGTTTTTTTAAAAGGCCAAAATGGCGAGTGTGACACAAACAGTTACTGAGCAACAGGGGCAATAGGAGCCAGAGCAAGTTGGAGCCAAACTTTGTATATGAGCACTTCCCTCGCTGGGCTAGATTGAGCTAGTGGGTTAGCATCGTCCATCTGTATACAGTGTCAGATCTGGCGGCCCTCGTGCTGCTGCTTCAGGCCCTGATCAGCTCCTCTCAGTGACGCGGTCGAGCCGTGTGAATACTAATGCAACACAACACAACATCTCTCTGAGCATCCAGCTGCAGCGCTTACATAAGCCACACACGCCCTGTGCGCCTGAGAGGACTGAGGACCACTGCACGGACATGTGGAACCTCCCAGACTCTAGAACTCCCAGAGCAGTCAATTTGACGGCTTTCAGTTTTGGAAGAGTAATTACTCAGCATATGTGCATTTTTCTCTTCTGAACTTTGTGACTTTTTCTGTTTCTATGGCATTCATTCATGTCATTGTTTCTATGAAATTATCTTTTATTTTTGAAATGTGAATTAAAGTAAAACAAATCTTCTAAATGATGTACCTTTAATTCATCTGGTGGAAAACTAAACTTTTTGGGGGGAATTTCTCACAATTCCATTTGTTTGAATGGGAGCAGTCAAAATGACGACTTTGGGAGTTCTAGTGCACGCTGAGAAGAGGTATTATGACTCCAATTATTTTATAATAACTTCAGAACAAAATCAAAATGCATTTTATAGTATTTTTGTTGGAATAATCCATTGTGAAAGCATATGAAAGCCAGATCCTGTCCGACCTCTAAAGCTAAGCAGGACAGGCCCAGGTTAGTACTGTGATGAGAGACTTCTGGGAACACCAGGTGCCACAGTAAGACGCTGCAGCTGTCACGTATACTGCCCCCTTGTGGAGACTCTATGAAGACTGAATGTGGAGCTGCTGTGGCTCATTATGTCTTTGGACTATCTGTGTTTGAAATAAAGCTTAATAATAATAATAGTAATAATCATAATAATAATAATAATCCAAACTTAAGCTCTGTGTATCTTCGAGTCAGACCCATGCAGAGTGCTCTCCACTGTTGATAACTGACTGGTTTATAATGAACTCCCACTCGTCACACTGGCTCTTGAAATAGCCGTCCAATTATCTGGTTACAATTATGTTTCCACTGTGTGTGTATGAGCAGACTTCACTATAACTCATTCAGGAAACACAGCAGCTTGCTATTCCATTTCCACGTTTGATTTGAAGGAGCTGTAATGATCCTGCCGACTTCATGTGGATTAAAACCTTTTGTGGATTTACAGACACTGCAATTATCAGCACTTTTTAATTGGGGCCCCTCAATAAGGCAGGTTTATTTGTGTAGCACAGTTCATACACACGGCAACTCAAAGTGCTTAAATTTACTCACAGTACATTAAAACGAGTGAAAATAAATTGTTCAGTCTCACATTTTCAGGAGGACCATTCCAGACTTAGCTGCATAAATCTGAAACGCTGCCTCCTCATGTTTAGTCCTGACTCTGGGCACCAGCAGGAGGCCAGTCCCTGTGCTCCCCAGAGTCTGTGTTAGTTCATACGGCTCTCACATGACAAAGTTGTGGAATGCTTTCAAACTACTGTTGTCGTGCCAATACAGAACCATCACGTTTTCTACCAACTATTTTAAATACACCACCAGTAATTTTTAAATCATGAAAAGGCCAAACAGATATTTTCAGACATATTAAATCTATCTCAGTCTTGGGCCATTGCTGCCATTGGGGGCCCCCCTCAAGTTTTGGGCCCGCTCCAGTCTCACGATAGCTCTGCCTCTGGTCCAGCTCAATACCTCACCTTTTGGGGTAATTTCTGAGAAAGGGGAGCAGTCACAATGACGGCTCTGGGTGTGTTAAACATGAGAAGAGGTTTTATGACAGTAATTCTATAATATCTGAAAAATGAAATGAAAATGCATTTATTTGGGCCATTGCTGCCATTGGGGGCCCCCTCAAGTTTTGGGCCCACTTCAGGTTTAGGGCCCCTCCAGTCTCACGATAGCTCCGCCTCTGGGTGTGTTAAACATGAGTGAAGAGGTTTTATGACAGTAATTCTATAATAACTGAAAAATGAAATGAAAATGCATTTATTTGGGCCAGTGCTGCCATTGGGGGCCCCCCTCAAGTTTTGGGCCCACTTCAGGTTTAGGGCTCCTCCAGTCTCACGATAGCTCCGCCTCTGGTCTAGCTCATTATCTCACCCCCCCCCCCCCCCCCCCCCCAGTTGAAAGCAGCTGCTGTAATAACCGCACGTCCTCCTGACATTAGCTCTGAGCACATCTCCGGCTCCTCGAGATTAAAACTCGGAGGATTTTGCTGTAAATCCGTGAAGCTGCAGCAGGAGGATTTTTGTCCCGCGGCTGTCGGAGAAGTCGTGTCTCAGAGAAGTAAATGTGGCAGTCAGAACGAGAAGAGTCTGTGTGAAATTACAATCTGTGCAGCTACAGCCCTGAGGATTACAGAGCGGGCGGCAAACTTCCCCCCTGAGAATCTGAACGTGTGTTTTTTATGTTTTTACACAAAAGAACGGAACATGAAAAATGACCATGAAAATACAGGGGAACGTATGGAAAAACAACACAGTGAGAAATGATTTGACGTATTCAAGATATAAAAACTGCAAAAGCTATATTGCAAGAAGAAAAAAACATTCAAGAAAACAATACAATAAATAAAAATATGCAGGTTTATAGCGACAAAGCTAGTTTTTATCCATTTTCATAAGCAGGAAAATACCATAGACGGTTACTACACACAGTACAACAGGACGAGGCAGCACAAGGAAATGTTAAAAGTCTAGTGGTCACTTGAATTAGTTTATTTGGATAGGGCAGTGTGGATTAAGTTCACTTTTAGAACTTTTATAATAATGTATTTAATCAAATTTCTATGGGTGGATGTGTATCTGCCGCTAGACACCTGAATTTCTCCTACAGTATGGTGTATTAATATTCAATTCAATTCAATGTATTCTTGTGTAGCCCTTAATCACAACAGTAGTTATCTCAGAGGACTTTACACAAATTGCCAACACAGATCAGAGAATCAAACCGTACAAACACAAGAAATAAAACAGAAAACGCATTGGTCCATAAAAGGCAGATGACCAATGTCCATAAGCGATCATCACTACTGGCCTTTTAGTCCGAAATGTCACATGAAACTAGAGCTGCAACTAACGATTATTTTGTAATCGATTAATCTATCAATTATTTTTACGATTAATCGAGTAATCGCTTGGCTGTGAATTGTGTAGAAAATGTTTATTTTTTCATCACAAAAAGCTAAAGTGGCAACACTCGAGGACGTATTGATGGCGTAAACTTAAAGTAAATGTTTGTAACAGGCTCTTTGTGCTAATTCTGCTATCTGATTGGATGAGACAGACAGATATTCATGAAATTATAAAAACAAAGTCGGTTTTAATCAAAAATACTACATTTTCATGTCATTTTTG